AATCCTACTGGCTGCAGTAGACCTTTCCTGCAGCCCCCACTGCTGGTGTCTCCCCTCTATGAGTACCTTCTGTGTCCTCTATGTCTTGTAGAACATAGTTGTTTTCATGTTGTCTTCCCCATTAGAATGAGATTACCCTGATGGCAGGAACCATGTTTTTGCACACTCTGCATCCCCAGTACACAGCACCATGGCTGCACATAATAAAAGCTTGATAAATGCTCGGTGACTGTTTCAGAACCTAAATCTCTTGAGGGCTGGGACTGGTCTGATTTGTGCCTTGTATACAGTAGGTGATAAATGCTAGCTAAAGTCTGATATCTACTGAGATCACTTTAACTTCCCTAAGTTGCTGGTAACTATGTTGCATTGAATTATTTGTTTAAGCCTTATAAATATCAGAGGCTTCTGAGGAAATAAATTTTCTCTTAAGTGAATTTTTATTTTCTGTGACATAATAGATTATGGGCTGGAAGGTATTCAGAGAATAATATAATCACAGAAATTACATTTGTAACAAGAGTATTTCTAAGTGCTATTTTGCCAGAATGAAATTCTTTACCAAGCTTAAGTAACCTATAAAACTGATGACACGATTCCTAAAAGTCTTCCCTATAAATTGTACTGCAAATAAACCTACAATAAGCAGTATAAATCAGAAATGTGTGCTAATAGATTCACTTTCCATGAAAGGAATGGAAATATTTTGAAACTACTTGATCATCTGAATTGTATTCAAACAATATTCCTATTTTTCAGGCTCAACAAAATGTTTCAAAATAAAAACTTAAAGCTATCTAACAATCCAGAAATTTTACTGCAGAAATAGAATCTGGTGGTGGCAAAAGGTATAAGCAGCAGCACAGGTGACTGGAAAATAATTTATATACTAAAATAATAAAATGTGGTAGTATCTGGGCTAACAGATAATTTTAAAAAATCTTTGATTTCCACAGGTAGGAAAATTTAATTGTGTAAACATTATCAACTCATTTTTCTAAGCCTTTTGTGACCAAAATCATTCTTACTTTCCTCTTCCATGAGGAAAGAATGTCTACATGACTGTCCATCAATAGATATGCATTATTAAAATAACTGATATGTGCCAGAACCTGTTCTAGGTGGTTGGGACACAAATACAAAAATAAGATGGTCCCTGCCTTCAAGGAACTTACATTTTACTTGGCAGATACAATACATTCACAGATAAGTTAATACAGAATATACACAAAATAAATGCTCCCGTAATTTGAAGAGAGGCTCCAGCAAATGGGGGAATGAGTAAAAACCTCCTAATGTAGACTGCATGTGAGTTAAGGTTTGAAGTAAACTAGGGGTTCCAAGAGGCAGAGGAGAAAAAGGAAGGCATCCCAGGCATGGGGTACAGCTGCATCAGGGGCACAGCGAGTGCCAGTTTGGTTAGAATTGAGAGTGAAAGTGGTGGGGAGTAAAGTATAACCAACCTAGAAAGACAGTCTAAATCCAAATTATAAAGGGCTTTTTATGTGAAACCGAGTTAATACTCCAAGGAGGAGAGAAATGGATCTTAAGTATGTTTGATAAAGCAAGCTGAATATAAGGGAAATACAAACCCTCATATCACTCCCATAGCTGACATGAAAATGCAAACAATTGGAACTGGATGAAATATGCACTAGGTAATACTAACAAGGGCAGAAAAAAAATGAAAGGTTTTTAAAAAAAACCTCTTTAATAACTACTGACATTTATATTGGCTTTGTTTCATAAAACGCTTTTACATAAGTTCTATCATAAAATTTATGATCATAGCTTTAGAATTAGAAGAGACTTCAAAGGACATCTAGTCCAACACCCTCATTTATAGCACAAGATGCTTATGTTGAAGAGCAATGTTAAGTGACTTGGTCCCAAATCACACAGATTTGACAGAGGTAAGATCTGAGCCCAGGGCTTGATGCCAAATCCAGTAGTCTTTTCAATGCACCTCATTTGTTAATTCTCATCATTTCACTAAGCAGGGAAGGTTGGTATAATTATTCCCACATTAAGACATGAAGGAAACAGACTCAGAAAGGGGAAGTGACAAATTTGATGAACATTTGATCTCTGACAAATGTCCAATGTCAGAGATCAAATGATAGCCTGGATTCAAACCCAAGTCTTTCTGATTCAAAATCCAGTTTGGTCATCAAGTTATTATGGAAAATGCAACAAAACTGATTCATCATAGCAATTAGTACTCTGGTAGCAGTCAATAAATATTTAATAGTATCACATGAAAATTCACACATCTCTATTCATATCGAGTTATCACCCCCATAAAAACATAACAAGTTGGGAGTGGTGTACAACTAACTTCAAAGAGTAAACTTTAGACATTTATAATGCCTTGCCCATTTTGGGAGGGGGTTGGGTAGGATAAGTAGGTATGGGCCCAGTCGTGTGATTTCACAGATTTAGCCGCTATTGTGGAAATTCCCTCTGTTGGTGCAGACTGGCAACTCTGTAACTTAACAGAGTTGCAAAGTAAACTCCAATAGAATCTAAGTTTCTTGAGAGTAGGGTTTCATTTATGTCTTTGCATACCTAGTACTTAACACACAGTAGCACCAAATAAATGCTTGATTACAGTTTTGAGAGTTGCCTGGGGTCAGTCATACAGTTGCTACGTATCAGAGGCAGGACCCCTCACACCATGGCCCACACTCTGTCCACTAAACCAGGTTGCCAATGGAGATGCACATAATACAGGCTTAATAACTGTTTACTGAATTTTAATAAGTAACAGAAAAAATAAAATATTTTAAAGAACGATCTTTCCCTTTAATTTCCTAGTCATTTAAAAATTAGGTTCTTTCTTCAAAAATAATGTTTTATTTTGGGGTTGATGGGGGAAGAGAGTCTTTTCAGTTCAAATGAAACTCAAGTTAATGACCAACCTTGTTAACATTTGATTGGGAATACACCCAATTAGTGGAAAGTGGTGGTTATCCCAGTACACACAGCCTCCCACTGGGCAAATGGCCACAACCAAAAAGTCATGATTGTGATTGCATGGCTGTCAATGTGGCCTATGTGGAGAAAAATCTTAAAAACAATGTTTTGTTAACAGAAGCCCCATGGCTTCTAAAGATGGTCCCAGTTCATGTTAAAAATTAAGTTCAAGTAACTAAACTGATTACTGTTGAGGATACCACCATCTTCCTATTATTCACCCAGGCTCAAAACAAAGGCATCATCTTTGACTCCTCACTCTCATCCCCACATTCAATCTGTTGCCAAGTCCCGTTGCTTTTACCTTTACAACATCTGTCACCTTTCTTCTCTGACGCTGCCAACACATCACTTCATGCCTGCACCACTGCAATGACCTACTGCTTGTTCTCCCTGCTTGAAGCTTCTCCCCACTACAATCCACTTTCCACTCAGCTGTCAAAGTACAGTTCTGACCATATCAAGTCCTTATTCCATAAGGCAATGGCTCATTATTACCTCCAGGATATCTACTGTCTTTTAAAACCCTTCATAACCTGGCCCCTTACTACCTTTCCAGTCTTCTTAGACCTTATTCCCCTCCATAATACTACTTGATCCTGGGACACAAGCCTTCTGTGCTGTTCTTTGAACAAGAACATCTGCCGCTTCTGGACATTTTCACTGGCTGTCTTCCATGCCTAGAATTCTCTCCCTTCTAATCTCTCCTGCTAGATTGTGAGCTCCACGAGGGCAGGGACTGGTTCTGAATTTCTTTTTTACCCCAGCCCCTACCACAGTGCCTGGCCCATAGTAAGCACTTAATAAATACTTGGTGACTTGACTAGAAAAAACGGCATAACAGTGGGGATGGGGGAGAAGAGGAAAGTTGGGCTAGATAGCTGTCAAGTATTCGAATGGCTGACACTTAAGAGAAATTACACTTACTCTGCTCTACCCTAAAGAGCAAAACTAGGAGAGCAAGTGTGGGGGGTGGGTGGGCGGAGGGGAGTAACAAAGAAACAAATTAAACAAAAGGAATAAATAACTTCCTTCACAATTAAGAGTTACTCAAAAGTGGATAAGCAGGACGCCCGGGTCCCTTGCGCGCCTAGGAAGCCGCAGATGTGCTAGGGATTTGACAAGCACCCCACCATGGCCAGCTGCATTGGGAGAAAAATTCTTTCAATATCCAGGCGGTCACTTTTGTACAAAAGGCTGCTGAGGGGTGGGGGTGCAGTGACTCATCCTCCCGGGCACCAAAGCGCCAGCTGACTTGGGGAGGCCTGCTTTCCCAACATTTCCGAGTGGGGGTGAGGGGATGGTCCTGGAAGCCCGGACAGCCTTATTCACGGCCAGGAGGAGCTTCCCAAAGCGATCCTTCTTGGAACTGGGGTAGGGAGTGAGGAAGCGCCCTGCCCGGCGTGACATAGCGGAGATTCGAACACGCGGCTGGAGCGCTGCGGGGAGGCCGAAACTGGGCGCCGCGTGCGCTTGAGGCCAGCGGCGCCCCCTGCCCCACCCGCCCTGCCCCAGGTCCCCAGGCCCCCAGCCTCGCGGCCCGGCGGTTCCGATTGCGCTGCCGCGAGCCCGCCCGGCACGAGCGGACCTACCCCCGCCTCCCGGCCTACCCCTCAGACCCGCTCTCGCTCCCTCCCTCCGGGGATGGCGTCTTTTCTCGTCTCCGCTCAGCTCCGGAGAGGGCAGCGGCCCGCGTCCCGGCTGCTCACCTTACCTGGAGGAAAAGGACCACCCCGGGAGCAGGGAGGGCGGCGGCAGCGACGACCTAGGATCCGGCCTCAGGCTGTGGGCCGCACAACGTGTTCCTGCGGCCACCGGCCAAAATGGCGGTGCCCAGCTGCCGCCTCGCGCGCACCGTAGAGACGGGAGTGCGCGCGCGCAGAGGAGCTAGCGGGCGGGGAGGGGGGTTTGGGGGGGTGACAGCTGGCCCCCGCCTGCGAGGAAGGAGGAAGGCTTAGGTGGACCAGAGGAGCGGCTGACGTCATCGGAGTGCGCCGCGAAGAGGCGAATGGAAGGCGGCGCTGGGGCTGTTGGGAGCCCGCGGAGGTCTGAAGAGAGGAGACTGTCAATCTGGGCTGCGGCGCCCAGTTGCCGCGCTCGGGCCTGGAGAACCGTGAGTGTGCGGCGGCGGGGAGGAGCACCGCCTGGCTGCTCGGCCCACTCCACGCCCAGGTCTGCAGGGCTCCGTGGTCCGCATCCATCGTTAGTGCGGAACTCTGACCTCTCCGAGAGAGACAGAGAGAGAGAGGGGGGAGCCAGGCTTCTGGCGTAAGTGAATGGAGTTCTGCACTTGGAGTTGGCAAGACGTGGGTTCGAGTGTGACTAGGGGCATCGCTTAACCTCACCTTATCTCAGTAGCCTTAGCTGTGAGAGGAGAATAAGTCTAGCCTACCCCTACACCTGCAAGCGGATGCGATAAGATAATTTATGTAAGATGATTTGCAAATTCTAAAGCTACATGGAAATGCGAACTGTCAGTAATACCTGCTTCCGGGTGCCCGCTGGTACTCGATATTTAGAAATTGAGATGAATTCTATCCCATAGAAGAGATGGACTTTTCTTGTTTGTAGAATAGTTAAAATAATCCCTGACGGGTGACACACTGAATCAAAAATTGAACTAAATGCTATCTTATGTTTGTTGGTTGATTGATACAGATGTTATGACAAGAGCATGAAGTGGCAGCGTGGTGTGGCTTCAGGGTGGGAATTCTGACTACTTGGCACCGCACTTGTCTGTGTTGGGAGGTGGCATCTCTTGTAGTTTAGATCCCAATCAGTTTTTTTTTTAATTTTTCACTTTCTTAGTAATTTAGAAAATTGCCTATTGAGTTAATGGAATTGAACAGGACAGCAATTGCAGTATATATGAGGTGCTTATCTTGAGCAGCGTGCTCAGTTATAGGGCAGTGGTGTCAAACTGAAATAGAAATAGCATCTTGCAGCCACGTATTGACTACAAAAATACCAATCGATATTGTCTGTGTTATATTGTATTTTTGTTTATTTTGCTAAACATTTCCCAACTACATTTTAGTTTGGTGATACCGGGTAGTTTGCCGCCTTCAGAGGCAAGTTTATTGTAGAAAACATATTTAACTGGGGTACTATTTTGTATTTACGATAGAAGGATTTTAACACATCAGATTTTTTTTTCTTTGTACACTCGTGGCATCTCTCAATCTGACTTCTTTCCTTAATTTTGTGTTTAGATTCAAGATGAAGTAAAGAGTTCCTTTTTTTAAATTTAATTTTTTTCAAGTAAGCATCTATTTTCTTTCCCCACCCCTGCCGTCGTTGGGGGAAAAAAAAAAAGAAAAAGAAAGAAACTTTTGTAAAATATGCATAGTCAAGCAAAACAAATGCCCTCATTGGCTTTGTAAAAGTTATATGTCTCATTCTGGATCTTGAGTCAGTCACTTCTGTTAGGTGAGTATCATTCTTTATCATCTTCTTAAGGAATTGTGGTTCCTCATTACATTTACCAGAGTTGTGGTTTTCCAAAGTAGTTTGTCTTTACAGTGTTTTTATTATTGTATACATTGTTCTCCTGGTTCTGCTCACCTAATTCTAACAGTTCACACAGCCTTCTGAGGTTTTCCTGAAATCATTCCCTGTGTCACTTCCCATATTGCAGTGGTGTTCTATTGTTACGGTTTGGGGTGCTGGGAACCCCGCAATATAAGGATACAGGGAGGGCTATCTTGAAAGAATTGGACCACCCAAGCCTTTTTTCAGTCAAAGTAGATGGGTTTGTTGTGATTGGTACTTATATATAAGAAAAGACTGTGAGAAGATCTGGGTAGGATTAAGGAGTGGTAAATAGCATGAAGTGGTCAAGGTGTAGACAATGAAAGGAGTTAAGTGGTCAGAGAGCTACAGTAAATGGGTGGTTAATAGGATTATTGAGTATCTAGGTGGACTGGGATAAGCCAGATGCCTCAAGTGAATCAGTGTGGGAAAATTCAGGGGCTAGGTTGCTTTCTGAGACATGGTCTTTTCCTTTTAGCGGTCCAGGTCCCGTCACCCCATCACTTTCATGTACACAAATACAATACAATAGCTGCTTGACTATTCTCCGACTGATGTGCACACTCCTAGCTTCTGGTTCTCTGTTCCTAATGAGCTGCCATAAATACCTTTACACATATGTGTGCCCCCCGTCTTTTCTTGATCTCTTTAGGGAATAGGCCTTGCAGTGGCAATGCTTTGTTAAAGGACGGTTTGATAACTTCTTGGTCGTAATTCCAAATTGCCTTGCAAAATAGCCAGCCAAATCCTTTGATCTACCTGGAGTACACTGATGTGCCTTTTTTCCCCCTGAAAGCCCTCTCTTCCCCCAACACTTGTCATTTTCCTATTCTGTCAACTTTACCAGTCTAAGGACTTTGAAGTAGAACCTCATAGTCACTTCAATATGCTTTTCTTCAGTTATCAGACTTGGAGTATTTTTTTGCTAGGGCCATTGATAACCTAGATTTCTTCCCTTGAAAACTGCCTGTTCATATCCTTTAGCCATATATCGTTATTCTTATAAATTTAAATCAGTTCCTTATATATCTTGGAAATGAGACCTTTATCAGAGACACTTGCTGCAAAGATTCATGACAGTTAAAAAGTTTCAAAAGACAGTTTCTGGGTATTTTAATCATTTTATTGATAAGGTCAGCGGGTTATTAATAAAAGGATGGTCAGTTAGTCGTCTCTCTTAGACCAAAGACAATCATGGCGACAGACTCACAGTTCATATAACCTTTGAAAGAATAGTTGGTCAGGGAGGGGCTGAGTGCTCCTTGGACAGAGAAGTTATCTCTACTCAGTCTACCCTCAGCCTTGGGCTATCTAAACAAAAGGATCTGTCTCCATCCAAGTTTGAGTATAATACAATGAGTATAATACCTACCTTAGATTAAATTCCATGTAAGGTTGAATGGGATCTGACCAAGATTGAGGAGAGTTAATTCAGTCTCATCAATGTCCTTCAAGAGACTGAACTTTTTAAAATCGGTAATTTGGAAGAAGGGAAGAGCTCTGAATCTCACCAAGATATTGGTTATTAATAATAATTTCTCTCATGCTTCTTATTTTGGCTGCATTGATTTTGTTTGTGCCAAAATTTTAAATTTAATGTAACCAAAATCATCAATTTTACCTGCCATGAGCCTCTTTATCTCTTGTTTGGTCATGAACCTTCCCTTATCCATAGATAGAAAGGTAATTTTTTTCTGTTTTCCCCTAATTTGCTTGTTATATCACCCTTGTGGTTAAATGATGTATCCATTTTGACCTTATTTTGGTATATGGGGTGAGATATTGGTCTATGGCTAGTTTCTACAAAACTGCTTGTTAGTTTTCTCAGCAGTTTTTGTCACATAGTGAGTTCTTGCCCCAACAGCTGGGATCTTTGGGTTAATCAAATACTAGGTTACTGTGGTCACTTCCTTCTATATATTGTGTAACCAATCTATTCAATTTATCAAACACTATTTCTCATTCAAGATCAAATTGTTTTAATGATTACTGTTTTGTAATATAGTTTGAGATCTGGTATTGCTGGACTGCCTTCCTTTTTTTTTTTTTTTTCATTTATTCTCTTGATATCTTGGCCTTTTGTTCTTCCAGATGAATTGGTATTATTTTTTCTAGCTTTATAAAATTCTTTGGTAGTTTGGTTGGCATGGCACTGAATAAGTAAATTAATTTCATATTGTCATTTTTATTATATTGGGTTGGTCTACCTAAGAGCAATTAATAATTCTCCAATTGTTTAACTCTATCTTTATTTGTGTGAAGAGTGTTTTGTAATTGGATACTTAGGGTTCCTGTGGTCTTGATAGGTAATTATTTTCATTTTACCCTAAATTTCCATTTCTCCAAGTATTTTATACTGTCTGAAGTAATTTTAAATGGAATTTCTCTATTTCTTCCTGCTAGGTTTTGTTAGTTAACATACGAAACTGCTGGTGATTCATGTTTATTTTATATCCTGCAACTTTGCAAAAGTTGTTAATTGTTTCTAGTTTTTTAGTTGATTCCCTAAGGTTCTCTACTTGTAGTATATTTTAAAAGTGATAGTTTTGTTTCCTTGTTCCTATTCTTACTCTATTGATTTATTTTTCTTCTGTTATTGCTATAACCATTATGTCTAGTTTGATATTGAATAATAATGTTGATAATGGATATCTTTGCTTCACTCCTGATTTAATTGGAAGGGCTTCTAGTTTATCTCCATTACAAATAATGCTTGCTCTTGGTTTTAGATACTAGTTATAATTTTAAGAAAAGCTCCATTTATTCCTATGCTTTCTACTGTTTTTTTAAAAACAGGAATAGCTTTTTCCCAAGTTGCATATCCAATTCATTGATTGCTCTTTCTCTCTTTTATTAATGTAAGCATTTAGAGATATAAATTTTCTCCTAAATACTGCTTTGTTTGCATCCCGCAAATTTTTCTATGTTGTCTCATTGTTGTCATTCTTTTTAATGAAATTATTGATTGTTTGTGTGATTTGTTCTTTGACTTATTCTTTAGGATTAGGATTATTTAGTTTCCAATTAGTGTTTAGTCTGTGCTTGCAGGGCCCTTTTATGAATGTTATTTTTATTGCATTATGATCCAAAAAGCGTGCATTTAACATTTGTGCTTTTCTGCATTTGTTAGGTTGTTATGTTTTACTACATGCTCAGTTTTTGTGAAGGTGCTATATGTAGCTGAGAAAATGTGTGCTCCTTTCTATTCCCATCATGTATTCTCCAGAGGTCTATCATGTCTAACTTTCCTAAATTCTATTTATCTCTATAACTTTTTATTTTATAGTCATAATTGTCTATGTCTGAGCTGGAGTAAATTGAGGTTCCGTACCAATTTGCTGTCTATTTCCTCCTGTAATTCATTTAACTTTTCCTTTAAGAATTTGCTTTGGTGAACGTGAGCGCACACACAATATTGCTATTATTTCATTGTCTGCAGTCACTCTTAGCAAAATGTAGTTTTCTGATTATCTATTTTAATTAAGTCTATTTGCTTTTGCTGTGTCTGAATTCACGATTATTCTCCCTGCCTTTTTTACTTCAGTTGAAGCATAATAGATTCTGCTCCATCCCCTTATTTTTCCTCTGTGTATGTCCCTCTGTTTCAAGTGTTTTCTTATAAGCAACGTATTGTTGGATTCTGGTTTCTAATCCATTCTGCTATCCTCTTCCATTGTATGGGTGAATTCATCCTATTCACATTCACCATTTTGATTGCTAACTATATTTTCCTCTAG